CGCCGCGATGTGTTGTGATTTGAAAGTCACGCGGGAAATTGGTTGCCAGTTGGCATTATATAAGTAAAGCAGACAACCTACATAGCCAGTGGCTCAGGGACCGTGATGTTCTGTTATTTGAAAGTAAATTCGCGGGAAGCTTGCAGCCAGTTGGCGCTATATAAGTAAAGCAGGCACCGTGCCTGCCTAGTCCTTAGGTGACTGTCGCGCCGCGATGTGATGTGATTTGTTTGAGCTGCTTTCTTTGATTTTCATTTCGTTTAAATTATTAATTAAATTAACTTTGGTTGTATTGATTTGTATAATAGCAAATATATGTATGTGGTATAAACGTAGTTTTGTCTTCGTAATTTGGAAACTGCGTGATTACACATTTCACACTTTCTCAAGTGCTCTAACCTAAAATTACCATAATACAAGTGTAGTATATAAAGGGTCAAATTACCAGAAAGACATTACTAAGGTAAACAGTAAGTAGCATCCTCATTAAAAGCAAAAATAACACAAATTAATGCAAACATGATTATCCATTCATGAGACTAGCAAATGCCAATGCTTGCCCCAATGACACGATTGGGCGACAATGCCAATGAAGCTACAAATATTGTATATAATGTAGGTACATATGTGTATATGAAGAGAATCGCTTAGCATATTATAACACTGAGTAGAAGTTAATCAACGAATATGTATAGTATAATATATAATAATTCACATACATACCACATATGATAATGTGCAGAATAATGAGATGATTTTATGTAGACCTGTACAATTAGTATATGTAGATGTAATTGCTCTGGTTCGCTTGTCTGTTTAGTTACATTGTCTATTATAATTTCATATTAATAATCCTTTTACTTTTTTTAACCTTGGCAATAAGTTGGTTTGTTGTTGCCCGCATATGAAGATAAAAAAAATTACGGAAATTAAAGTAAAGAGTAAATAAGATCGGTCAAAAAATTTGATTTGGTTTTTGGTTCATTTTTGTTTTAATGTCCAATTTCGGATTCTAGGCATAATAAAACACTGGAATTTTAACTTTTAGCTCTTAAAGTTTGCTTTTGCCTGACACGAATGGGCCTGATTTGCCCATACAAACACAAAATTAATCCGAAGAAAATGTAGAAAAGCAAACTTTAATTTAAAACAATTTTGCGCTTATTTTTAGTGAAGAAGAAATAGAAATTTAACATCCAGAAGTCAACCCAAAAATCTATAGACGATTCTTGCGAATTCGTTGAGCTTTTTGGATAGTTCTGTATTATACTCGCAAGTCCCCTACTGTTCAAAGGCCAAAACCTGTACAATAATGTAAACCTGTATAGTAATGCTAAATCTCTTTCAATTATGGCAGTCGTCCGACTAAATGTAGACACATATCACAAAAAGGGTGACAACGGCGAGGTTTTCAAACTATTAAAGATATAACTAGTAATTGCAGATATAAGCATGAGTATGTTCGTGTTCTTACAGAAATATATACGCGGTTGGGGTACAACCACATACTGACATTCATATGTCCTTGCATATGTGTTCTGTCTTCATGCAGTTACATACTAACTTACTACTATAGTGTATGAATGTGTATTTTATGTTAATATATTTGTTTTATTTTATTTTATATAAAGCTATCTATAAAAGTAAATGGTTGGGCATCTTTCTTTGTTTTTGATTTGTTGTGCGGATAGTAACTCCAGCTGAAACAACAACACAAACGAGATGGAAATTAATACAATAAATTTTGCGTACAGTCTAGACAAAACACAACCAACAACAACTTTGACAACAAAAAATTCATCGTCAATTTATCTGCATACACATTTATATACAGATATGCATACCTAGCTACATACATATTTAGATAGATACGCATGCATTTCCGAGTATACATACGTTCACATGGAGTGTGAAGCACCAGACAAATATTCAAACATTGCCGCAAAAATGCGTTTTATATAATTTTAGTATAAATGTACAGTCTCCACAAAATAAATTTGCACAGAAATTCATATACATACATACGTACTTGTTATACACATGTAAGCATATAATATTATGCGCTTATTTATATTTATTTTCATGTGGACATCAAATGAGCAGATTAAAATTAACTTGGGGAGGGAAATGCTATGAATATCGAGTATTTATCCATTAAACTATTTTAGCAAATACAACATTCATATGTATGCCATCTTAGTTTTGTAAGTAACATGTATTTGTTGTAAAAATTGCTTAATTCAAAAATTTTATAAAGCTTACTTCGATAAGAAACTTAACATGTGACGTTAACGATGTGACGTAGTGCGTGTACTTATGTGTTATACATAAATGTGCATATGCCAACATGTGTGTAAGATGAGAACTCTAAATAAAAGGAGCATCGTCTATAGTCTCCATTAAAAAAAAAAAATATATTCTACTTGCAAGGTGAGGTTTTTTCATGCCTCCCGAGTGAACTTGCGTAATGCATATGTTGCATAAATGTATGTGTTGCTAACTCAGTCGTACCACTACTAACACTCTGAACGTGGCTGTCATCGCGTGTTTGGTGGGATCTCTGCCATTTGCAGCGCTAGAGAAAAAAAAAACAATATTGAAATATTGGTTCTGTTTAGAATTTTAGATTTTGGCATTTAGCGTTGAGTTTTATGAATGAAAATTCGCGAATATCAGATACCTAAGCATGAGTGTATGTTAGCCGACCACTGAGGTGAAGGAACATTTGTTGTGAGAGAACGAGCGGCAGCGCCTAGTTTTGCTGATATTAGAATTCCCTTTTTATTGTCAAAAACTGTATTCTAATATGCCTAGATTTTATTAGTTTTAGTGAAATCAGTATGCCAGAGACATACATACGTATGTATATTTATATACTAATGGAGAACTCGTGGATAGTGTTGTCTACTACATAAATGAAAAAACTTGTTGTTGTTTGTAGGAACACTTGATAGAATATTTTTAATAGTTTGCTGAAGTTAATGATTTAGTTCGCTCACTGAACTTTTCAAATGATTTATAATTGTAATGGATAAAATAAATAACGAATTGACATAAGGACCACGTTGTTCTTTTATACCGAATTTTGTTTAGAATTTATGTCAAGTATTTCCATTTTTTCTTACTTTTGTTGTACATAGATGAGTGTGTGTATACTTATAAGTACATTAATTTTTAATTATTTATTTTAAACAATTGTGGTTTTGATTAATGTCCTACCAAGCTTGGCACTGTGCATATACAATAAATATGTAAATAAAACTAGATATATGAAAGTAAAACCGATATTTACAATATACATATATACTAAGTTTTACGCTTATAAAACGGAAATACTTACAAATATGCATGTACTTGCATATATGTTTAACAATTTATKTGTGCATATGTACATATGATAAAAGAGATATGAGAATATTACGTATACGCCACGCGGGAAAAATGAAAACAGTGCGATTGAGAGAAAATTGGAAGAGAGACGCCAGCGATGTGTACTACTACAACTTGTGAGAGCAGGACATATAAGTATACATATGTAGTAAAATGGGGTTGATGAAAAAGAAATGAAAATTGAAATTGGCCTATACGAATAGGAGTGAGTTTGACAGTGTAAGCATAAGGAAGTATGAATTTGCACATAAAATGAATAGTAAAGAGTAATTGCCGAAGTGATCTGTGGAAAAACAAGCATACTGTATTGGGAAAATTTGCATGTTGGATGTATACACATATTTCGGTCCAGGTAGACATCGATTGAGCCGCGTCGTATTGTATGCAGCGGGCGAATGAGCAATGTGCTACCGACACAGCAAAGGCAAGTGGAGAGTAATGTTTTTGGGTGCATAATAGTGCAGACACAAATGGTGTAGAAATGTGTGTTGGACGAATGTCTGCCCACGTTTGAAATTTCGAAATTGTGTTGTTGTAAATGCTTTTGTTTTTTGATATGCACTTTCGGTATTTGTGTTGCTAGTATGATTTCGCTTTGTTTTTGTTGTTGTGATGTCTGCCAAATTTGAATATACACTTATATGCATTTCAGAGTAGTTATTTTACTAGCATGTGTTTTTATTTGTTTCTGTTATTCGTGTCTGCCTGATGTCATGAGCATACATACAAATTTACCGTTTTGAAATAATCGTTTTTTGTTGTCGGTTTCATCGTAATCATTGGAGCATTCGCTGTCGCATATTAATGCATAGCCCAAGCACAGCAACTTTATTACTATAGTATTTGTAGTAGTTGTAATCGTGAAGTCGTCGCTTACGCATTCGGATCTGTCAGCGGTATTGCCGCTGTCATCTCGAAATGACTGCATTACAATAAGGCAAAAGTTTGTTTGTACGTATTGTGAACTTACATACGGAACTCGCGCCTCAATTTTCATCGTAGTCGCGATTTTCACCAAAATCAAATTTGTTTCACCAGCCCGCCAGTCAAACAGCTTATACTTGTAAGTAGAGTCCAGAAGTAGTAAATGTTTCACAAGTGTGTATGAGTAGTAGTCAGTCGGTTTGTTTATGTATTTACCTGGGAGTACTATGTGGAAAATAAACACAAAATTCAAAGTGAAAACAACTTTGCGGGGGTCCTATCAGCGAATTTATTTGTCAGTTTAAAACTCCACTTGCCAGCCTTTTGAGCTTATGTATGTACTATATTTCAAGTGATTTTAATTGTGACGTTAATAATATTAAATGAAAATAACTCTAATAGCAAACAGATATCATAGGGAGACATTTTTTTATATTTAAAATTAATTCTCTAAAGAGCAATATTGGTATTACTATTATAATTAGTATTAATAAAAATATTATTACTGTTATTATTATTGTTCTTGAGTAGTTGCAATGATAATTCATTATTTATCATCAGATTATATTAGATGTAAACGTATTTAGCTTTAATTTAATGAAAGTAGAAATATTTTTAATATTTTATCCCGAAATTTTATAACACTAATATTGAAAATAGGCAATAAAAAGTCATTCACCCCACGAATTAATATACAACATATGTACATAATTACATGCATTCGTTCGCGTAAAGTAAATGATGAACATAAAGAACGGCGAAGTAGCTCAAGGACACACGAAACGCGAATTTCAACCAAAACGATGAAACTGCAAAGGGAAAACAAAAATAACTCAATTGAAATTTGGTCACTTGCACCAAAGTGCATAACACCAGTTGCAGCAGTAGAAGCAGCAACAACAATAAAAGCGAAAACATGTACAACTTCAGAGGCAGCATTGATGCCGACAACAAGGAGTAGGTCGTTCATCAACAAACAGCGAAATTTCACGGCAACCCAATTTCGATTTCAATATGCCATGGCTACAAGGCAACAACACGACGAAATGCTATAAGGCTGCAAGGACGAAAGTACATTGCACGCTGCAAGGATGCAAGGCCGACGACACGACGACGATGAGAATAACGGTGATATAGATGCGGCGGAGGCGTTGGAGTAGCGCCCAGTCTTCGGCATTCAATGTCAGAGAACATAAAAACTGGCAAGTGCTCGTAGAAAGCGCATCGTTAACAGGTCCTGGAAAAGGCGGCGTCTGTAATGCAACAACCGCAGCTTTCCCACTATTGTATTTGTATTCCTACCTCCCTATGGGTATGCAGATATCGCTCCCAAATCTGCATACCCCATTTGTACTCATGCGTGCAATTCAAAGCAACAGCCTGCAATCAACATCCACCAAGTGTATGTAGCTATTCAGGACTTGCAACCGCGCTCGCGACTACCAAGGCCAATTCGCGATGAAATCCGGCTACGATGCCGGCGACGGTTTCAGTTATGTCTGTATGTAGATTGAAGTAGAAACCGCCCACAACAACCTCATCATCTAGCGACCAGGTCTATTGAAAATTGGAACACATACATATATACCTACATACCTAAATATATATATATATATATATGTATGTACATACGTTATAAGTATTAGGGAGCAGACAGAGTGTGAGAATATTTGCGAATGTGTTAGCCACAGAGGTAAATGCACTTGCCGCGGCCAACTCGCCAATAACGAAGGGATGTAATATGCTGCTAACGCGACTGCTGTACTTACGTAGAGTGGAAGCGCAGGGTGCACAAATACTCATAGACGTTCAAAATGATGAATGCATRCATGTACATACATACAGTACATATACAACATAAAGTGCAACGTGCATTATTATGTTTCTATGCCTATGCACCTATGCTTGTAGTTGTGTAGGTATACAGCAAATATCTGTATATAAATGAACAGGCTATGACATAAATGTTTTCGGTGGCAGTGCAACAGGGACGATGACGCTATGGTCTCAGTGACAATTGGTGTGGAGTTGTCTGCCTGTAAATATTGCCTTATTGTTGCAAAGACTTTAACCTTTGGGAGGGAAAGAGCATTGATGGCGCGATGTAGCCAACGGAGATAATGACGAGTACGAATACGAATATGATGAAGTTACTGGTTACGATGTAAATGTATTCATATATGAGCTTATATATATTATACACATATGTATGCATATTAAGTATACATAAATTAATAAATACAGGGTATACATTCTCTGCACAATTTTGAGGTCCATGGCGCGCGAGCAGTTGCATACATGTACATGGGTGTTTGGACTAGTTTCCCCACTTTCCAGGCGACAGTCTAGATAAAACAATATAGCGTTTTAGTTGTTTGGAAATACTTTTCTATCTTTGTGTGAATCTAATATAAATATATATACATTCTCATGCATATTTGGTTCAGTTGTTTGGATATAATTAAGTCAAGTAATTAAGCACTTCATTCCGCAGTATATTGTTTAAATTTTAGATAAGTTTTGATACCATATAACACTAAGTCCTTTTAAGATAACAGTGAATTAAAAATGTATACTCGAACGGAATTATCACACAAATGTCATTCTAAAAACACTGTCCCATAATTGTTATCACGAACACGGAACACTCAGCTAATAGTAATGGTGGAATGCCGAGGGGTTTAGTGGAATGGTTGTCAAACAATCTGCATCGACCTACTCTGTCCTTTATACTGCATTGGTCGCATTGCATTTTGAGGATATCAGAGGTAAAGGAAGAGGCCAACAGCGCCAATATGCGAAGTGATTGCTTTTGGAATTTGCTGGGCCAAGTAAACTCTCCATGAGCGCCCATCCCACTATACAATCGTCCTTGACCGTGATGTTGAACATGTGGTAATGCCAATGGCGTGGTTTCGTAGACGCCGCGGACATGACGTCCATATGCACATTTGTAATGCAAGTAAATTTACTGATGCTTGGTGGTGTTGGCAACATCCTCGAATATGCTTGTCTATGCCACAGCCACTGCAGAGATGTTGGCTAATAATGGTGGGGATGGCATTGTGCCTAATAGCTGTTACTCTGATGGTGTGTTATCATTGGTGTTGATTCGTATTGAGGTCACGCGTTCCACGGGTCGAAGAAAGTGAAATTTAGTTTCATAATATTCATACTTGTATAAATTTGTATTTTTAGTAACGCTCGCGATTTATTTATGCATTATCATGTATTTCGAAAGCATTATTATTTAAAATAATTGTTTTTAAAAAATTTAAAAAAATGAAACATTTTCAAGACTAGTACAACTATTTAGAAAAAAATCAATAAAGTAATTGGTTAAAACCGTATGTTAAGCATACTATATGTTATGGCATGAAGTCAATAGAAATCATTACATTTATATCTATATATGTACATTCATTTTTCGTGGTAAATTCCAAGTTTCTCTATGATTATATTGAACACATCTTTTGCTTTTATAATTATATATAATTTATAAGTATTATTTTATTATTATTTTATTTATTTACTTTATTAATTTAGTAATTGAAATAATTTTGATATTTGCAAGTACATATGTATAATAATTAAATTCTGCCATAATTTATTTTTTCACTCGCAATCTTTCTCATTTGTTTATTTCCTCTCTCTTCTTTTTGTTCGGAAAATGCTTTCGGCTGTGTAGGTGTTGGGGATGATTGTCCTACCATAGTGAAATGCATACTTTTCGATTGCAAATTATTTGGACGCATACAGTCCTATATGTGTGCCGTATGCCGTTAGGTGCTACTGACTCTTATTTCAGAGTAAGGCGTGTGTATTTAAATTTTTTCTTCTGTTTTGAGACTTCTACTGTGGAGAAAAAGGTTTACGTTAACAACCAAACAAGAAAAGAGAACGAGGAGCAAAATGTGGGGACGGGTCAGCTGGCAGGCAGCAGTGGCTTATATTGATTGGGATAGTGGCAAGGAATAAAAACGAGTAGCTGATACAGTGCTCCAGTCTCAGCATTTGCAAGCAACTGTCACTTTAAAATTCACTGTTGAGTAGAAAAAATTGCATTGCAAAACGGTCGTATCGGTGTAATATTGCTAGTCATATCCGGTGCAATGCTTCTTTTCGGATGGTTATCGGTGCTCTTTCTAGCAGTTTTATTCCTTTACAACAGCACCGCTATAATCCACATGAATGGCTTACTGCATGCAAGAGGGTTTACTAAGAAAAAACAATAACAGTAATTGCATTGTAAGCTGTGTAAACTGAAATTATTATACTATAAAAAATGAAAAAAATCGTGCAAATAAATATATATACAAAAATAAAGAAGCAATCCGAGGATGAAAAGCTTGATAACAACAGAAATATTGAGCCGAATTGATGTTTAAAAAAGTACATAAGAAATTCTCACGGTCACTTCAATTCCACGCACCGTACGCCGCACATTATGCAGGATTGTTATTACATTGACTCTGTGCTCGACCAGTCAACGTGCAGATCTTTGTGTGCGGTAGTCGATGCACTTGGAACTTTGGTGTTGTTTAAGGTTTGTTGATTGGCTTAGTAACAGTAAAATAGTTTCTAATAGTCTTGTTTACAACAGCCAAAGAACTTTATCGTTTTTTCTTTTGGAAAATCGATATATCGCTCGATTTTCTTTGTTATCAATGCACAAAATACCATGCGAAGTGCGTTCCTAAGGTAAGCATATGAACATACGAATAACATGAAGTTATCTACGGATATATGTATGGTGCACATGTATACCATACAAGTATATAGGAAGATGTTTACCTCTTGAAGTCAATTCTTACCGCAAATTTTAGGGACTTTATTTTATTATTCACACCTTGCTGATATATTTGCATTAACTCTTTTAGCAAACAATATTTTTATAGTACGAATGAGAATATCTCTTCCATGTCATCATCTGTTTTCAGTGCACTTAGAAGTAAGAGTATGCGGTTAAATTAAATGATATTAACTTGCAACACACTTAGACACTCATCACTATCCTATACCTCTCAGCTAATGCTAAATTCTGAAACCGTTTTGGTTTGGTCATGCGCATCGTAAATTGCACTTCAACCCTATTGGGCTCTCAACAGTTTTAGGAAATATTCTCTAATGGTTTCTGAGCTATTTGTATGCAGGTATTTATTGCTGCGACGTTATATTTTTGGTTGATTTTGATTATACATGGTCCACAAGTTATAAAGTATTTTTTTTATTAGACTTCTTTGACATTGGTAGCAGTTGTTACAGTAACTAGTGGCACATTTGGCTTTTGAAAAAGCATCTTATGACAATACACACGATTTCAACAAATTTAGTTTTTGTTCATATTATTATGTTTATATATTTTTAATAGTATAAATTCCAAATTTGTACATATGTATAACAGGTGTGAAAAATATTTGAACATAATGCACATACACTTACTGTACATTTGAAATTAAATAGAAGCAAAGTAGATATTCACTAATGCTTTCTTCTGAATGTCATTATTTTTCCAGATACCACAACCATTTGAATCAAAGCGCTTAGTATTCCCTAAATTGACTATTTGGAGTAGAATTCCAACTATACGTGAAAGAAGAGAATCCTTTACAGAATTATTCAAAAATAACGTTATTTTCGGATAGCAATGAACTTTTCACCATTTGGTAATACTTTCCCCGGTACAACCACTATTCCTGGATTGCCGCAGTTCACGACAACTGCAGCGCCACAAGTTTCGACTGTAACCTCAGCGGCGGCGGTTGCCACTGTAACGTCGCAAGGAGCAACGCAGCAGGAGGAAACTGCCTCCACCAGCGGCCGCTACCAATCACAGCAGCAGCAGCCACAACAACAACAGCAACCATCGTCTGCCAATGTAAGTATGACACATTTTAACCAACCAGCACTCCCGATCGCTGCTGGAACAACCGTCACCGCCATACATGCAAAGTTCCGCACATCGGGCGATGAGCCGCAAGGGGATAAATACAATGGACATTTGGTGACTATAGAAACAGCAGGTACCAGCGGCGCACAGCAAGAGCCACAATATGGTAACATACCAACGTACACTACCCAACATGCGGATGATAAACATTTGATTACAGCAGCCATTGCGTATCCACAAAATACGATTACCGCTTCGTCGTCAACGACAGCGGCAATGGCAGGTATAGCGGTCACAAATGCTACGCAGCAACATCAGCTGCATGTTCAACAACAAGTGTCTGGACCACAAGAGTTAACACAGGACTTGTGCAACGCCATTTTACAACAACAAGGTGTGGATACAAAGCTTGGTGAGTTAAAATTGGGACAGAACTGAAATAATTGGTTGCTGAAGTACTTTTCAACAAGAATGATCAATTAACTAAAATACGCACTATCGGGGAATCTTTTCAACACCCACCGTCACTTTTAGACCTTGGTTGTTATTATTTTAACATAATTTTTTGTTTAATAGAAATTTGTTCTTAAACGGAAAAGAGGAATTAAGCTTCAACCATAAAATACTTGTCAGCAAAATTTAAACCGACATATTAACAATTCGTAATTTCGTATTATAGACTGAAGTATTGGTTGTGATTAACATTTCTTCCCCTCACCAATGTTTCTGTAGTTCTACAAAATACCTCATGGCAATCGCTAACACCAGGTACCACAGTAGCTGATTACCTCTCCCATCTTCCAGCAAACACACTACCATTGTCGCTACATCATTTCCTCAAGTATTCAGCCGAAACGATAAAGAAAGAAAATCAGGGTGTAGTAAGTATAAGATACAAACCTTTGCTTATATATTTATATGAAATATATTTGCAATATTTTTAGTGGAAAAGTTATTGATAAAAGAGGAATGTTCTTGGCCTAACATGTTTTACAGGTACAAACGGGAGCACCTATTGGCATCAATACCATTGCCGGTACAACAACCATTACAATACCTCAACAGCAAACGGAGGCACAAATACAACAACAACAACARCACCAAGGAGCAACAACAGCACACCTACAAACAGATCCGTCGACTAGCGACGCTGTTGCAATGGCCCCAACCTCAGCTATTAGTGCAACTAATACATCGAAAAAGAAGAAACGAAAAAAACGTCCTAAGGATCGGAAGCCAAAATTGAGACCTGGCGAAATTCGGCTTACAACAGCTCTGGATGGAAGCCCTTTATATTTGTGCCCCGAATGCCAGGTTGCATATCCCGAGCCGGACTTGCTCGAAATACATTTGGTAGGACACAATCTTGAGAGACGCTATATCTGCGATATTTGTCAGGCGGCCTTGAAGCGCAAAGATCATCTAACGCGTCATAAACAGTCTCATAATCCAGAAAGACCTTATATATGCACAGTCTGTTTGAAGGCATTTAAACGAAAAGAACAATTGAGTTTGCACTTTGTGATACATTCGGGAGAAAAACGTCACTTATGTCACGAATGTGGTAAAGGTTTCTACCGCAAAGATCATCTGAGAAAGCACACACGTTCGCATATTGCACGCCGTGTAAAAGCTGAGCTTAGCATGCAGAATGAAAGCGAACATGGAACGAGTATGCTACAACCAATCACAGTGACAACAATTACTGAGGTGCAACCTCAGTCGTCAAGTTCGGCGCAACAACAGCATTCAAGTAACCAGCAACAACAACAACAGCAGCAGCAACAACAACAACAGCTCCAGCAACAGATGCATACACAACAAATGCAACATATTGTGGTAACACAACAACAACAGCAACAAATGCTTAATTAGCCAAATGGCGGCAATGATTTTTGTAAAGTCAGTTGAAATTCAATATTGATATTAGGAACTGCTGGAAACTAAATTAAGAAAAATTAAATTTTAATATTATAACCTGCAAATTTGCTGGGGTTTGCTCTAAATTTTCTTTTCGATTTTTTTTTAGTAATCATTTTTTTATAAACACGTCTATTGAAAGTATTTTTGACCTATTAATGCACTTGCGAAACTCATGAAATATAATACTCTATGCTTCATGTCATTATTATTGTTTGGAAAATTCATCTGTACATTTTTTTATAACATTTTGGGACAAAATGACTTTTGCAAATAATAATGAACATCATACGCCGCCGAACAAATAAGTAAAACCTTATGAGAATAAAATAATTAAATTTATTGTATAGGACATTGGCAAGGACTGAAGAAAAAATCGCTATGTTGCATACAATAGCTGTATTTACCAATTCGCCTCATGTGAAAATATTTAATATGTATGTAATTAAAATAGATTATCGTACGTATTTAACACATTACTTCAATGTAAATAACACAAAATAGCGATTGTATGTGAAATTTAAAATTAATTATAAATAATAAAACGAATATAATAATAACTTCTACTAATATTATATGAAATAAGTATAAAGAATAGATCTAAGAGAATGCAATATAAGGAATGTATTTTTGTATGTAAAATCGAAAAAGAAGGCTAAACAAAGTGCAGTAAAATCTGATGATTTGTATATATTCGAAATATAAATTTAAAAGTAACAAATTTACTATGATTTACACAAATAGTATATAATAATTCGCTATAGATGTGCAATGTATGAAATTATTTTAACTAATCATATAACATTTTTGAAGTAAATAAAAAAATCAAATATTTTAATAAAAAAAATTGTGCATATATTTTATTGGGCCATACTGATAAAATTAGATAAACAAGTTATGTTAGAAAGGCAAAAATCAAAAAGAGAACAAACGAATACTAACAAAAAAATAATTCGTTGATGAGTAAATTAAAAGTTATCGATAATTTTATGATTTACTAAAATGTTTCCGCTTCAAGAAGTGTTTTAACTGAGTCCAAGATTTTATTAAAACACATCACTATGCAAAAAAAATATTTAAAAGTTTTAAAGTATTAGTAAAGTTTTTAACGTAAGAGCTGTTGTGGTAAGTACTGAAAATAAGATCGGAAGAGTCTCACTGTATTGATRTAACATGGTTATTTTCCACTACAGCTCTTGGGAAATTTTATTGACCGCATCATAGTATTACTATGTACAATATTTAAATGATTTCAATTTGCACCATATTAATAACAATTACAGTGCTGCCAATAACCTTTTTAAATCAAAATGCGTTATAGTGGCAAGGCTAATAAAGTATAAACACAGCTGCGTGGAAATACGAATGCAAAACAGAATAATAAAACACCAGAAAGTAGAAAACTAAGTAAAAGAAATATATTGAAAGAATTTTCTTTGCCACTAAACTTCTAAAATCACGTTAAAACGATCAGAAATTATTAGCAAATCAATCCATAAAAAATTCTAGTTCATTCTACAATATTGCATACAATTTTAAAAAAGCTAGAGGTTTTCAGCCCAATCTTAAGTGTTATATGTACATGCATATGGTTTTGTGAACAAAGGCGTAATTTCGATCATTTGTGAATAAAATGAGGATTTAACCTAATGAGTGACTTTTGAGTGGTTGATATGTGTTGTCCATAGTAAACCAAGAAAGAAATGTTCATTTAGCAATAACATAATACATACATCATTATTATGACGCTAAGTTTAAAGCGTAAAATGGAATAATTCAAATTAAAACTATACAAAGCGGAAATACAAAAGCGCATTATTCGCTAAAATAACAACTGCAACAACAATAGTGTTACGTAGTCATTACTGTGAAGTATACTCATGGAAAGACTACTATATATAGACTAATATACTGGAAACTTCTTCAAATTTCACACTTTTAAATAGTTATTAACAAAATAAAACGCTACAATGACTATAAAGCCTATAATTTCACCAACGCAGAAACGATCGGTTTCGGACGAAAAGAAAGAAACTCATAGCCATAGTCATTCACATACTCCACATCCACATGGAACTCATACTCATGGACTTGGCCATAATGCGGTTGAACCACTCAACAGTCATAATCAAAACAGTACTCGAAGTGCTAATACACATGCTCAATGTCGGGCTGGGCAGGTAAGAAAGTTAGATACTTAATTTTTTAAATATTATTTATAACAAATCCCCTTTTACATATGCTTTTTAATATATTGTAACAAAAAACAGCTCATAAAAATTTATTACATTTTCATTTACCTTTCATAAATGCAGAGCCCTCAGCGGAGAGTTGAAGTTTTCGACGACATAGCCCGTCATCGTCGGAGCCCACATAAAAGGTAGATAAAAATAATACGCAAATTAGTTATTTTTCAGTTATGCTGTTGGTTTTTTTCATAGCTCACGTTCCAAGCGTCGAGATCACCATGACCACCTACATAAACGGGAACGCGTAGAAAGAGAAAAACTTTCCACAGTAAGCGTTTCAAATAACACAGGCTCCAACAAATGTAGCAGCCCGCATGTTCATAGTAATATATCTTCAAGTACAGTTGTTGTGAACAATAATGTTAGCACTCCTGTGGGAAAAAGTGGAATGGGTACTAGTGCCAGTATACCGCAGACAGCTGAAACGGTCGAAAGTCCAGCTGATCAATTGGGTTCCGGATCAGTGGTACGTAGTTGTCAAAGTCCCAAATTATCAACACCGACTACGCAAGCGGCGGCTAACTTGCTGAAAGCAGTCGAAGAAACATATTCTGGATATAATAGTGGTGACGAGCACTTGAGGCCCAAAGAAGATGCTATTACTGCCGATGAGTGGCAGCAACGCGATGAACAGTTTGCAAAATGTATGGCTGGACGTGGATACGAGCTACGATCAGTTGAGGAAGATGGTGCTTGTTTATTTCGATCTATCTCCTTACAAATTTATGGTGATGAGGAAATGCACGACGTAGTCCGCCAGCATACGATGGATTACATTGTAAGCCGTAATTGAGTCATATTTCAAGCAAGTCATTGCAATTTTCTTTTCACTTTTAGTACAAAAACCGAGAATATTTTTCACACTTTGTCACTGAAGATATAAATAGTTACATTAAACGAAAACGGCGAAAGGATTCTCATGGTAATCATATAGAAATACAAGCTATGTCGGAAATATATAATCGTCCAGTTGAAGTATATTCATACAAGCCAAGTACGTATATATTGAATAATTTTGATTTATTTTAATAAAATATTTAAATTGACTTAGCTCCCATAAATATTTTCAATTCGGAGCAATTGAATAAGGGTTATGCACCACTGCGTCTATCCTATCAACGTGGTTCGCATTATAATGCGATTCTTGATCCATATAATGCGACTGTGGGTGTTGGTTTAGGCTTAGCTGGTCATAAGCCTGACCTTCAAACGAAAGAAGCTGTGCTCTTGAGTGAACAAATGGAAATTGAGCAGGTAAAAAAAATGTGTAATATAATTCCTTTAATATCTTCATTTAATAAATTTTTCGGCCCTTTCATAATAATAGACAATGTTTGAAGATAAACTGAAAACAACTGATTGGGAAGCTACGAATGAGGCTATAGAAGAACAAATTGCACGAGAATCTTATTTGCAGTGGTGCCGAGAAAATTTGCAGAAAAGTCGTATTAACGCTACTGCGGCATCCACATCAGCTACTGTAACGTCTGCTGAAATTGCTTCAGATTCGGAAGCATCACCTTCCAAATATTCTGTTCAACACAATAATTCTAGTGATTTAAATACTAATACCAGCAACTGCAGTAACAATTCTGTACATACTGACATTGAGAACACGACTCATACTGACTCTACAATAAAAACATTTGAGCGCAACTTAAGTTCAAGCGTCGATTCGACAGATACACCACCAGTTTTGGAGAATAATCGTGTCTTATCACCGAAATCATTAAATCTAATAGCTCACAGTGTAAATAAAAATATAACGTCTCCACATTCCGTCGGTGATTGGGAATTAGATAGTGATGATACGGATATAAGTAGTACCAGCTCAATCGGAATGGGTAGTGTGGGTAATAGTACCGGGAGTATGAAGGTATTGAAAAAGCGTAGTGCTAATTTGCGGACTGGTGCGAAAAAACGACGTCGTGAACCGGTGGTCGTGGCAAAAGGAAAGGGGTAAGGCTTTTTAGAACTGCTAATTTTAATGGAATCGGTATCAATAGCGTTGGGTTAAAATATTAACTGTTTGTAGTGTTGCGGCATCTACTCGTGGGATAGGAAAAAGTCCGAAATATGATAGTGAGGGGGATCCACCTATGATGCCAATAAAGTCGCGATCACACACTCCAGAGGGTGAGCAGCAGCCTTGCACATCAAAGCAATCGTGCATTACAACTCCCAAAAAGGATTTTCTGAATGCACGTGATAATTTATTAGATATGCTATCGGCATCTACTTCAAAATGTACCTTACCTTTGTCAAAAACTTCAAAAGAGAGCTCAAACCAATCTAACGACAATCAAGAATCTTCAAACTTTTATCAAGAGCTTTTGGAAGCTTCGTATGCAGCAGATGGTTAGTAAAGTAATTTAATTCTTAAAGGTTTAAAAAAGCTTAGTGATTTTTTGCTTTAGCAGGTTTTGGCCAGTTAAGCGAATCAGAAATGCTACAACGTGCTATACAATTATCCACTCAAGAGTACATCGATGATCAAAAAAGGAAGTATCTGTTTGGGCCATAAGTTTAAGTTACTTAATAAATGCAAGCATTTTTTTCTGTAGCGTTTAAAATTTAGAATTGAACAATAAAAATAAAAACATTGTTATTACTTGGTGAATTTAGTTGAATTGAAGAATTATTAATGCAAGATAAAATATGTATAGTATAATACAAATTATGAATTCTTAAAAGAATTATTGTAATCATTTTTAAATAATAAAT